TGTTTTCCATCCTGCCTCCCGCACCGCACCTGGAGCGAGCGACGGTCTAGACTCTAGAGGGACGCGCGTGCGATGGCGCGAGGAATCCGTCAGACGGAGATGAGACGGCATCGGGGAAACGGAGCGGACAGCCGCGCTCGATCGTCGGGAGCGGCCCCGCCAATGCCATGCGTCCGTTGGCGCCAAGAACCCGCGTCGAAACGTACTAGCAGCTAGCTAAACATAGCACGCCTCCGCCGCATATAAGCGGCCAGCGTCGCCGTCCACCTCTCGCCTCACCGTACCACACCCAGCCAGAGACCAAGGTACGTAGCTACTATCAAGATGGTAACGGCGGGAAGAAGCAATGCCGCCGCCCCGGCGGTGGCGGTGGCGGTGGCGCTGTGCGCGGCGCTGCTCGGGAGCACGGCGTGGGCGTTGCCGCCGTACCAGCCCCTGCCCCTGCCCAAGCCGCCCGGCGGCGGGGCGCCGTCGCTGCCGGCGGGGCCCCTGGACATCGTGATGCTTGGGGCCAAGGGCGACGGCAAGACGGACGCGACGCAGGCGGTGATGAAGGCGTGGAAGAACGCGTGCGGGGCGACGGGGACGCAGAAGATCGTGATCCCGCCGGGCAACTTCCTGGTGGGCGCGCTGGAGCTGTCGGGCCCCTGCACCTCCTCCATCATCATCCGGCTGGACGGCAACCTCCTCGGCACCGGCGACCTCACCGCCTACAAGAAGAACTGGATCGAGGTGATGCGCGTGGACAACTTCGCCATCAACGGCCACGGCGTCATCGACGGCCAGGGCCCCCTCGTGTGGGAGAAGAACATGTGCAGCAAGCACTACGACTGCAAGATCCTCCCCAACGTACGTACCTTCCTACCCACTCTTGCATTGCCATTAACCAAAACCAAAACCAAAACCAAAACCAAAACCAAAACCAAATCGTCGCTTCGCTGACGGACTGACGGAGGCGCATGCATGCATGCATGCATGCATTTTGCAGAGCCTGGTGCTGGACTACGTGAACAACGCGACGATCCGCGGCATCACGCTCAAGAACGCAAAGTTCTTCCACCTCAACCTCTTCAACTGCAAGAACGTGCTGGTGGAGAACGTGGAGATCACGGCGCCCGGGAACAGCCCCAACACGGACGGCATCCACATGGGCGACTCGGAGGACGTGACCATCAAGGCGACCAACATCGGCGTCGGCGACGACTGCATCTCCATCGGGCCCGGCACCAAGCACGTCAAGATCCACGGCTCCCGGTGCGGCCCCGGCCACGGCATCAGCGTGGGCAGCCTGGGGCGGTACAAGGACGAGAAGGACGTGGAGGACATCCAGGTGACCAACTGCACCATCAAGGGCGCCACCAACGGGCTGCGGATCAAGTCGTACGAGGACTCCAAGTCGGCGATCAGGGCCACCCGCTTCGTGTACGACGACGTCAAGATGGACAACGTCTCCTACCCCATCGTCATCGACCAGAAGTACTGCCCCAACAACATCTGCGCCAAGGCCCCCGGCGCCTCCAAGGTGGTCGTCGCCGACATCGTCTTCAAGAACATCGTCGGCACCTCCGCCACGCCCGAGGCCGTCACGCTCAACTGCGTCAACAACGTGCCCTGCCAGGGCCTGCAGCTCGTCAACGTCAACCTCAAGTACACCGGCACCAACAACAAGACCATGGCCGTCTGCAAGAACGCCGTCGGCACGTCCGTCAACGTCGTCAAGGAGCTCGCATGCCTCTGATTCAAACCACACACCCACCCACCCGGATCCGGATTCTTTCTTTCTTTTGTTAATTTGATTTGATTAATTTTGTTTCTTTCTTTTTTGCTTCCTATCATACGTTTGTTTTCAGTTTTACTTAAATCAACAACTGGTGTAAGCAGCTGACAGTTAACTTGTCAATGATAGCAAGTGCCTGATTTTTGTTAAGAAGTGGCCCATGCATGTTAACAACGTGATGCCGTGGCCCTGGTGATAGTTAGCTACCACCCACCACAATCTACTTCAGAAGCCGAAACCCAACAAAATTTACTTCAGAACAATCGCAGCATCCCATCCTCCTGCGGTGTTGCAGAGGAGAAAAAGGAAGAAAACGAAATGACGCACGGTAGAATCACGATATCATCGAGGAAGTGCGGCTAAAAGTAATCAAGTTATCACATCACTAGGGGGGGAATACATACATCCCAATTTTATTACTACTATTTACCACCACTGCTAAGCCCTTCAAGATACATGGCAGCTTGCTAAATACACTGCCTGCTTTATTCCAAGAACTGAAGATCATCGCCTTGGCTCATGGAAGCGACGGCAGAATCTTCCCGGTGCAGGTTCCGAATCCAACGTTGTAGTCCTCGCCCTGAAAACCCAGATGCCATCAAGATCACACATCATATCATCTTTGATTCTTTTCTCTTTTTTGCGGGTAATCTTCTAAATTTTCAAGACCGATAATGTTCGATGACAACAAAGAAAAGATGAGTTCACCGAACCTTGCAACAGGCTGTCAAGATGACTTCATCTCCATCTTGGAGGAACTTGCGGATCGAGTTCCCAACCGATATCTCCTTCTGCCCGTTCCACGTTATCTCCAGCAAACATCCCAGAGAGTCTGGTTCCTGAAACAAGGCGAGACATTCAGTGTTGATGTGTACAGTGATTTGTAGATTGGCATGTTTGTAACTCATATTTGCAATGGTTAACTCCATACAGGTCCACTGAGGGTGCCAGTTGCAAACATATCCCCTGGTCTCAGATTGCATCCATTCACGGTGTGGTGTGCTAGTTGCTGCGTCACAGTCCAGTACCTGCAAAATAGTTTTACAGGAGTATGCATGGGTTACACACCGAGGTAAAAGGGCACTTCGGGCATATTTTAACACATTAATTTACTAGTACTAAATGGAATGAGAATTTGGTAACAAAACCAATGGATACACCATGAATATACACACAGAGAAGACCAGCAGATTGAGTAAGAAATAAAATACGTATGCACCATGGATTGAATTATGCCTCTAATTAAAACGTAGTACAAAGAAGATTGATGGAAAAAGTCATGTAAACAGACTGCTTACATATGTTTGAAATTGGTCTTAGTGACAACTGATGCTTCACTTTGCTCTTTGGGCTTAATCCAAGCCTTGCACAGAAAAAAAATGCAATAATCAGATTGACTTCAACAAGAAACGACAAAAACAAAACAACGAGGCAATAATGTGACAAGATCGTACTTCAAGAGGAATGTCATAGTTTATATGATTCTTTTCAGCTAAGTAAGGCAAAGGCTCAGGTTCCTGTAACACAAAACAAATTAGTTATTCACAGTAGAGCAAAATGCTCATTAGCAAAAGAAATAGCACTGGTAATAACAAAATAAAAATTGCTTACCTGCTTAGGAGCCTCACAGGCAAAAGGCTTTAGGGCATCCAGAGTCACAATCCAAGGTGATACAGATGTACCTAGAGAAATTAAATTTTACAAAAATGGAAGGGAGACTGTTATTTAGGGAAAAGTGTACTTCTTCATGAAGCACTGCAGAAGATTACATATAGCAAGAGATGCAGAACTCTGAATAAGAGAAGAATTGAACTAGAAACGAACACCAGTAGAAAACAAACATTACACATGCAGCATTTCAACTTTTGTACAACACGTGATTCAAAGCTTATCCTAAAAACATTATACTGCTGATATCAGGTGTCTTACTGAAGCTTTTGCCAAGGAAAGGTCCAAGAGGTATGGTCTCCCAGGCTTGAATATCTCTGGCTGCAATATAGTATACAAAAGTCAGAACAGACACAGTGGGCAAACAATTTAGAACAAGTAACATTGAAACGGATACCTACCACTCCAATCATTCATTACCACTAAGCCAAATATATGATCCTCAGCATCAGCAATATCAATAGGTTTGCCCAGTTCATTTCCTGGTCCAACAATGGCAGCCTGAAAGCAACAAGTGTTACGACATTAGTGAATCAAGGTTAATTCGATATGAATGCAAACAAGTGTTAAGACATTACAAGTGTTACGACATTAGAGAGTATTTGGATAATTAGCGAAGATATGTCAACAATAACCACAAGAATATCAAGCACTACATTTAAGAGGTATATGTAAGAAGCTAACCATCTCAAGTTCAAAATCAAGCTTTTGAGAAGGGCCGAAATAAGGTTGAGAGCTTCCTGTTGGATGACCTTGTCCTCTAGCAAGAACAGACAAAGATAATATTAGCAAGATTTCAAGTGAATGATAGTGAACAAAAAAAAGTCATAGAGGTTCCAGTGTAACAGCCATATATATAATTAAGTTATATTATTTATAGCATGAGATAGAAGGTTCGAATGCAACAAAAATGTGCACAGTATAGTGAATTATGACAAAGGGGCAGGCTGGGAGAAATTAGGCACTTCAGAAAGTGAATAAAATTGGAAAACAGCTCATGGTTACTGCTCAATCAGACAGGGCACTAAAATAAACATATAAACAACTATTTAAAACTTTTGGGATGTGTACCTGGGTCGAATAATGTCTGTTCCAGATATGATTACAGATGATGCCCGTCCATGGTAACCAACTGGTAAATGAAACCTGAATGAAATAAAAACATGTTGCAGTTAGTGACAGAATTAAGAATACCTGTGTATTATTAGAGCACAAGTGTGCTAAGAAACGACTGAACAGCATGCAGCACAACTTCACAAATTTTATAAATCTGTAACCCATGAAATTTGAGCAAATGAGTAGAACAGAAAAATGTATTGTGTACGCTTAGCTTTAGGTAATATAAGCAAAAAGGTAGCCATATGACCATAAAAAAGAATCTTCTTATTAGCCAGGCTCTAATCTAGATGTATTGGGATCAGATTGCACCAAGTGCCTTGTCCATAGAAGCACAGTTTTTATTTTCTGGAGAACATATTAGCACACAGTTCACGCGCATTCTATGCCTAAGCTCAAGTTGTTTGACATGCTTGATCATAACGTCGGGTTGTATCGAGACAGGGCATGGTCAAAGAGAATACATTACCAATTCGGATTGACTGGAGTCTGTGGTCCACGGAAGATGAATCCACAGTTCCTTGCGTGGTGCACAGAACAAAAGAAATCCGTGTAGTCTCCTACCGTGATAGGAAGAAGCATCTCTACATCACTCTACAAGGTTGAAACATAACATCAGCAATTTCATCAATATCCCTTTGCTTCTTATTCAAAAACTAAAATATTCCTTTGCTTTTCCAGAAAAAAAAGGTAGGAGCTAGATGGCTGTCAAGCTCACCATTGGCACAAGGCAGTTCTTCCTCAAGGCCTCGTTGTCACGCAGCACCGGCTCATCAGCTACAGTGAAACAAGGAAATAATTTTTTAGGAAAGATTTCCTTCAGGGTCTTTGCACTTTACTTCGTGCCATGATAAATCAGATGACTATAATCAACAAAAACCAAACCATGACCAAATTAGAACTAATACTGAAAAACTGTTTGAAACTTGCGCTTGCTCACAAGGCATAGTACATTACATCAGCAGCATAATTAAACACGATAAACATCACTATGGGCTGAATAGCTTGGCATCACGATTATTCCCCACAACGCCATGCTTACCATGGAACAGTAATAACAAAGTAAAATCAAGGACTAACACAATCCAAGTTAGCTAAGAGGAACAAAGAGAACCTGAGAGGATTTTCTGGAGCGTGGCGCGCGCCTCCTTCCACGCCGGCCGGCCCAACCCCAAGAACATGTTGAGCGTTTCCTGCGCGCACAGAGCAGTAATTAACCACAGAAACTAATCGCAAACTTAACTAATCAGTACTATTAAAGTGCTAGTCTCTACAACAACTTGGGCAATAATTCCCCAAAATTCCAATCGCTGTGCCAGTAATCAGTTGGATTGTAAAAATTAAGCTCGCTCTACTCTAAGCATCAGATCAGTAGCAATCTCAAGCAGATGATGCGGAGCATGTAGATGGGCAGGCCGAGTACCTGGTGGAAACATGGCGAGGCGGAGAGGAGGGGGCCGTCGAAGAGGCGGGCGGCGGAGACGGCGGCGAGGTCGAGCGCGAAGTCCCCGATGGCCGTCGCCGGGCGCGGCGGGCCCTCGGGCTGGCCCCTCCTGCGGAAGACCCCGAAGGGGAGGTTCTGGATGGGGAAGTGCGAGTCCCTCGGCACCTCCAGGAACGACCGCAAAAGCTTCCCCTCCGCCATTGCCGACTTGCTCTGCTCGCGCGCGTCGTGTGCCTTTGTGGTTGTTTGCTCCAAGGGCGCAGTAAAAGCCGTAGGGGATAGCGGGTCGGGTCGGAGAGATGGGGACCGTATAAATAGGTGACGGGGCCGGCCAGCCGTATTGGCGTGGGACGCATTCCGCTCACGTGTCCTTCTCGTGTTAGGTATACATCCTACAGACAGTAGTTGCGATCCATCTTATATATACAGAAAAAACAGATAGTTACGAATAGATATTCATATAGTATATGGTTCGTTTGGTTAAATACTACAGATATAAAGATACCGTTGTCTACACGGCGTGATATCTGTGTGCGCCTCTAGTAGAGTTGTCGTATCAATTCGGATACGTTTACGGCGTCTGCGGCCAGAAAATCGAATCTAGTGAATGGTCATATCAATCTCGGCCTGCATAAATTTTTAAGGCTGTTTCAAAATGTATGTCGTTGGCTTTATGGATTCATATTGCATTTTAGTCATGGCCTTTATTAGTCTGTTCTATTTTCAGTATTGT